GGTCTTCTTTAGAGCAGTCCCATGTATATGTCCCATATGGGTAACATTACTGCCAATGCGTTGAGAACAAAAATGCGTGAAGACATCATAAAATTAATCACCTACTTATCATCGAACTCTTGTTTGATTACCTTGTCTTACATTACATAACTTAATATAACATCACGCCTTTTATCCCCTGAAGGTTAGACAGAGGTGTACATTACGGCACTTAATGCCACTATACAATGTAATCATACATTACAATTACGAGTTAATTGTTTTTGTTACAACATTTTAATTAGGTAGTTGTTATTAAATACTTCCTGGTTGAACTGTCTGTTTAATTGTGCACCTATTTGTGAAGATTTGTGATTGACGAAGGTCAAAGGGCGTGGCTGGTGGCTGCATGGATGCAAGTCGGTTAAACCAGGTAATCTTGGAGTCACTGAGAAAGACTCATGTTCTGAAGCAGTGGACTTCACTTCACTTCTTGTGGTAGATACGACGATGAAACCTTTTATACCAATGAATCTTAATATTGGTAGAGCAAAGTCTACAATTGTTTGGCAATTAGTTATCATAGTGCGTAGGCATAATTGTCCCATTTAGAGAGGGTTATTGTCTAACGGGCCTCTATTGGTTGCTTCAGAACCTTCGTATGTCGTTATAAACTCAGAATCCTGATTCCGGGACCCTGTTCCTTAACCATGCCAACAGGATTTAAGAACAATTAACGTTGTAACTTTGGCTTTGACTCGCTTACAATTATTAATTAGATTTTTGAAAATGTCAATGAATACTGCCTCGCACAGCAAAACTCTGGAATGACCTGTCGTCGGCGGTATTTCCGAACCGATACGACCTTCAAACCTTCAAGAAAAGAGCGTATTCCCTTTTAAAAGGCCGGCAACGCACCTGTGACTCCTCTGGTGTTGCGGGTGTCCATGGGCGGCGCTGATCGCTTACCATCAGGTGATCCGTCTGCTCGTTTGCCTCCTATTCCATAAAAAAAATACATCTATGGACCGGAATTTTTATTGAGCTCCAAAAAACTGGCGTGGCGTAGATGTACTTTTGATTATTATGCATTTTAATTGGCTCGTGTGAATAAACTTACATAATTATGTGATTTTTGGAAACATTAATGCAGATTTCCTATTGTTTGACTGCACGTGTAGATTTTTTTGTTACTAAGAAAAATAATGAAGTAGATATACCTACATTTGAATACCCACATGGCCCTATTTTTGGTGACGTGAGAGAAACCATGTAGCAGTACTAATATAAGGTCCATAGAACAAAACAAATGCGGTCGGCCTTGAACATTGCGAAATAAAATTTTAAAGTCCGGTTTTCAAAACGTTAACCTTTTAAAATCAAAAACTAATCGAGTCGTTGAACACTGTGACAACTAGACTTGATGATATTTTCTTCATAAATATTTATATTGGAACCGGTCTGTGGCGTATGGATTGAACCATTATAAATTATATCGAATGTTGATGGAGTACTGTATTGGACTCAAAGTTGGAAATAATGTCATTGACATAGACCTTACCATTCACTCTAATCTTACTTTCTTACTGTGTTGTGTATTATTTAATTGATTAAATATGATGTTATTTCACAAACTTCTGTTTGCACTCAGCTATCTCGACGATTTGGGACTTTAGACCACAAAAAACGTCCAATATAGACCAAAGACATAGGTCGACGACAAGATGACGTGCTTGGTTAAATTGTGTCAGTTTCAATTCCCTAAATGTTAGGTAACTTTTCCAGTTTGTTGACTAAATCGCTGATATCGAAAATTTAAATTCGACGTTAAACGAGAAACGACAAGATAATGATTTTAAACTGTCAAACACCAAGCGGTCACCGGTGACCGCGACCTATTGTTCTTTAATTGTGTCTATAAAACCGGTACTCGACGAGTTAAGGTGGTATTCTGTGAGAATACCATCTCAACCTCAGCTTCGCCCTTATCGATACTAGAGACTGAGCCAGCCCAATGAAATGGCATAAGCCCAGTTAAGTGATGTAACCCTTATAAGGTTAGGCTCTACCACCATTATCTGTTTTTATTGTGACTTAAGACCATAAAGGTATCTTTGCACTATATTGAAAAATATACCTACAATAAGGGCTATACTACACGGGCGGGTTCCCGCGCCGCGGAAATCCGCTTCTGTACCGCCCTAGACTCGATTATACAAGGTGTCCCTGAAGGTGACGATCAAATGGCACCAGGTGATCTGCAAGGTCCTAAGAGTTATCAGAAAAACATAAAAGAAAAATGTAAGACATACAGTTTTTAAGTTACAATGACTTGTGTGTTACTCACGAACCGCCGCTGTTAACCGCCGCTTAAAACTACCGGGGCGGTTATCCGCTATTACGTCATTCATATTCTATCTCCATAAATCTTCTGAAATCTTTAAATGAAATATTTTAACGAATTTAAACGAAGTTAAACGGTTTCTTAAATCTGGTTCCACCCAAACATTGCCGTTTACTTTATTTTTTAATAATCTATTTATTATTATTATACTTATAATAAATCTGTAGAGAGGTCAATTCTGTACATAAAATATATTTAAAAAAATAACTATCAAGGGGTGGTTAGGGATCGCTACTGATGCCAAAAATGCAATCAGTAAAATTTTTGTCTGTCTGTCTGTCTGTCTGTATGTTCGTTATGGAAACAAAAACTACTCGATGGATTTTAACGAAATTTGGCACAATTATTCTTCATACTCTTGGGCAGGTTATAGTATACTTTTCATTACGCTACAATCAATAGGAGCAGAGCAGTGAAGGGAAATATTGGGAAAACGGGAGAAGTTACTCCATTTTTAAGCTTCCGTCGCGTGTGCAGGCTTATAGGTTAAAGCTGCATAGAAATCATGTATGACGGAAATATTCTCCTTAAAATTATATAAAAAATATTCCTCGACAGCATATGTCTATCTTTTATGGTTGACTCACAATAACACGTGAAACTCCCGATAGCTTAGCAATTCGGTGATTTCTGATTGTATTTGTCTACTCTAACGTTTACAATACTCATTCATAGACTTTACGCTGTAACTGAAAGGCCAATGGTTGAAATTAGCTTGACTCGATATTATAAATGAAAATATGTGAGTTTATGTGTATGTTTGTTACTCAGTCATATTAAAACGACTGAAGGGACCGGAATTAAATTCGGAACAGAGGTAGATTATGGTCTGAAGTGATACATAGGCATTTTACCCTTGGGATCGCGGGCGAAGCCGCTGGCAGAAGCTAGTTCTAATAATATAAGAGCTGCAAGCGCAGTTATCATTAACGGATCCATGTTGAAATGAACACAAAAGACAGCGTCCCATGTGGTTTGCGGCAGTTTTCTTGAGCAAATTTCCGTGGCGGGAGAACCGCCGTAGTACCTACAGCCTTAAAGTAAAATTAGCCTAATCACGTTTATGGAAATAGATTTATAGAATTTCCATAAAACGTGACCGTGACTATTCAAAATCGTTATAGGCCTATGGTCTCATGATGACTATCAAGTTTAACTGACGCAATAACAAGTTTATACGTAATAATATAACAACTGAATATAAACCATAGTGTAGTTAAACAGTGAAATACGAATGTAAGAAATTCACACGGGTAATGTAATCATCAAAATTCAAACTTAATTGTATCTACGGGTGGGAGAGCCATGCTTCGGCAAGAATGGGCCGGCTCGACCGGAGTGATGCCACGGCCTCAAAGAAAACCGACGTGAGACAACACTTGAGTGAGGCTATCGGAGGCCCAAGAACCCCTCCCCAATCTCACCAATCCCCGAATCCCCAATAATCTTTAAATTGCTAATGCCCAAAAGGCCGGTAAAGGAACTTGTAACTCGGTGCTTACCGCTTGATAGGTGATCTGTTGGATCGTTTACCAGCTTATTCTATAAAAAAATACTTACCATTAATCGAATTTCCTTTTGAGATTATACTATCATGTTTATAATATCGAGCAAATTCGATACACTTAATTAATTCAATTCAAATCTGATTGTAGCGCGGTAGCGCCGCGCCATCTACACGCCACCGTAACGAATCACACTGGAAAAATTAGTACTAGTACAAATAAAAAAGTAAATTGATTTAATTAAAAATATCTTAGTCTTTAAATTAATAAATTATGTACATTTTCTTAGAATTTTAAATAACTTTCTTCATTAAAAACTGATTAATCCCTTCTATATAGATAGCGATGTACTGTTTCCAATCAATGTCCATAGGATCGAAAGGAAACGTCTGTCGGTCTTGTACGGATAACGAAGCATACAGCTTCCTCGAATTATCAGCCTTCATCACCCAGGAATGAGAGGTGAAATAACTTAGAGCTTTCTGGGCCATGGTTAGTTTTGACTGGATTTTCATGTACCTGGAAAGTAGAAGCTTATTTTATTGTAAGCGTATCACATTTTCAAATGGGTGAACAAAGTTGGTAATAAGGACCAAGTCTTCGTTGTGTTATTTCGAGTTTTAAATACCACAGTTTCTAAAATTACTTTTACTGCAAAAAATATAAAACTTTTCATCATCATCATCATCATCATCAGCATATAATTGATTAGTTAATCATATCATAATACTAGAAATAGAAATAGGTAGCGCTTGCAACACAGCAAAGGATTTTCTAGAATAAAAATTATATCTAGCTCTATAAAATATAGAATTAAGCGCACAACAGATGCGCCTAATTCTATTTTAGTCTGGACTTAACTTTTGTAACACATAACCTCGCGTCTGTCTCCCATGGGGGTAGGCAATGACTATGGAATTGCTACGATTCTTAGTACATACCTCCTTCGCTTCCTCATCAGTCACTAGTGTTTTTATGCATGCCCGATGAGCATGCATACTTTTAATTTTGACCCATCTTTAATATATAGGTACCTATATCTTATATACTTTTCATCTACATTATTACGTAATACATACCTTGGGGACTTCCCCGTAGCTCTCAGGAACATATCAGCGGTAAAAGATGGCGTCTTTTGAAGAAAAAATGACAATGTGGACAATGAGGCTTTATTGTTGGTGAATATTATTGACACGTTCTTATCTGAAACGGAGAATATTTGTTTTAATGTAACATTTCAGCTGTTCTTGTAACAGCTCCTATTTTCTACTAGTTGCCTAGCGGTGTCAAGGGTGGTCAACCCTTTAGTCAACTCAATATCTCCCAATTGACTCAGTTGGGAGGTATTTTGCTGTCCAACATTGAATCTGTGTTATTATGTCGAATATTATGTGTGGGAAAACCATGATTCGGCACGAATGGGACAGCTCGACCGGAGTGATACACGGCCTCACAGAAAACCTACGTGAAGCAACGCTTGCATTGTGTTTTGTTTTCTGGAGGCCCAAACCCGGAATCTTCAACAAACCTCAAATTTCTAATCCCCAAAAGGCCGGTAACGCACTTGTAACGCCTATGGTGTTCCAAGTGTCCATGAACAACACATATTGCTTACCATCAGTTGATCCGTCTGCTCGTTTCGGTAAACGAGCAGACGGATTACCGGATAAGCCGGTGCTTATCCAATAAAACAAAATCATTTAAAATCTAAAAACTCAATTATTTATCCAATTTTGATTCTCGTCTCTACAGACACGGTGTACGAATATCTAAGGTTTTAATAAGTTAAGTATCTATACGACATATGTATATGTTTTATAAATATTACAGTACCTACAGTCTGTTTCTTGGTGAATGGGACTACGAATAAAAATTAATCAGTGCACTCTGCTACGTTTGCTACGCCGTAGCCGATACATTTCCCACTTTTGCGTATCCTCGTAGCAACAGCGTAGCATTCATAACCAAGTTATTATCCTGCAAATCGTTACCTATAGTATAAAATACCGTTTGCAGCCGTATGCTTACCAAATTCGACATGATTCATGTGATTGATCAATTGCTTCAGTGTTAATGGGTTACAGCCACTGGAACAGCAGTTGTAGACTTTTAAAGAACTGAAACTGTAAAGGAGAAAATGTTTACCATTAGCCTATGGAATTAAACCACTTTGTTAGTAATTGATATATTACTATGACCCACAAAATCACACATAATAATATTAAGACATACATGGTTGCAAGTTTAGCGACACGTGTTTACGATTATTTAAGTTTCGTAGCAAAATGTAGGCATCTGACGACGTGCTATTGGTGAATCAAGATGTATTGTTACTATTTGGTGCTATTGGAATACTTTAGGCGCATCTTTTAAAATAAGCAGTTAACTTTAGACCTTGCCGTAGGTACTTTTTACTACTAAGGGCCTGTTTTATAATCTCCATTTTAATTGGAGTCTCCGTTAGCTCGATTGACACAAATTTTTACCCGCATTGTATTTAAAATTCCTCAACAATCCTCAAACTCCTAATTCCCAAAAGGCCGGTAACGCTTTGTGTTCCAGTTGTTCATGGGCGACGCCGACTGTTTACCATCAGGTGATCCGTCCGCAAGTTTAATGGTTTATCCCATAAAAAAAAGAAAAATATGTCAAACCGAAACCACTTTACCTTTATTTTGCCTACTGTTACTCATAATATTATTTTACACCCACCTGGAACATCTAGCAGCAGCCACAATCGCAAGATTAGCGACAAAGTCCACTGGAATCAGGTCGAGGATATTGCTACCTTCGCCAAGTAGCACTCTGTTAGCTCCGTTATAACTAGCTGTGATGAGGCCTGTGGCTCCGTTCCATGTATCCAACCACCCTGGTAGTGGTTCCTTTAGTGATGCAGATACTGAAAAAATGAAAATAAGGTTGTATCTAGCAGACATAATCAGAAAATGTTGTACTGGTTTGTTTTGAGATTGTCATACTCATCATCATCATAACATCACGCCTTTTATCCCCGAAGGGGTAGGCAGAGGTGCACATCATAGTACTGTACCTCATGTAACACCCACTTTTCACTATTTATGTTATGAGTCCCATGTAATAGGGGGTGAGCCTATTGCCATATACCGGGCACAATTCCAGACTCCGTGCTACTACTAAGAATATTTAAAAAAACCCAGTAATACTTTGCCCGACCTGGGAATCGACCCCGAGACCCCTTGCCCGGCAGTCGCAATTGCGACCACTCGGCCAACGATGCAGTCAGCATTGTCATATTATCTGTAGGAACTATTCGTGCTCTTTAAATTATGTATAGGGTGAAAACATCCACATATATTTTATTAGTAGGTACGATACTGCTAAAAATATACTTGATGTTTTAGTTCTATTTAGAAAACCTTTTGATTTACGTAATTACCCAGGTAGAATTATGTGGCTAAAACATAACAGGCGATGCCCTGCATTATAACAACCCATTTTCTTTAATATTTTCTATTATATTATATTTTATGCCCAACCCTCATTGAGCAAGCCTGGTCTTAACTCGTCGAGTACCGTATTTATAGACACAATTAAAGAACAATAGGTTGCGGTCACCGGTGACCGCTTGGTGTTTGACAGTTTAAACTTTCTCCGTGTGAGAAGAGGCTTTGCTCAGCAGTGGGTATTTATAGGCTGTTAATGATGATGATGATATATTTGATGACAGTAAATAAAAATATTTGCCTTACTGATGGAAGGTCGGATGATTATTGTGGGAACGTGTCCGCAATTCTCAGCTATGTAAGTCTCTGCTAAGGCCTTAGCAAAGGTGTAGCTATTTGGTTGATTTTCTGTAAAATATAAGAATAAAATATAGTAAAATGATTAGATAGGTACAAAGTTGTGAAAATATTATTAAGAAAATAACTCTCATGACTGAAAAAAAAACATTTAGCAGCCAATATCCAAAATAGATTTTTTGTTACAATCTCATCCTTAAAAAATATTATGTTTTCGGCCTACTCACGTAATAATTTGACGAGGAACTCGACTTGTTTCTGCCGACTAGTTAGTAGTCGCCGCGGCGACTGTCGCCGTGTCGCGTGTCGCGAAATGCTGCTCATGGACATGAGCCAAGAGAATGGCTTGAAACTAGTCGAGTTCCTCGTCAAATAATTACGTGAGTAAGCCGAAAACATAATAATTTATTTAGTATGTCTCACGAAAGTTACAATACAAATCTCATCCTTGTTCCTGTAACAATTTCCGTAGTTCCTATTTGAAGCTGTTTTGCTATTTGAAGAAATTTTGCATTCCAAACATCCAACAACCTGTAGTTTCGATTGTATGTACATTTATCTGCCTTTGCTCAGTCAGTAATTATCGGTTAGTCAAAACTTACTAAAGAACTCTTTGATCCTTTTCTTATTGTCATGCTGTGGTTGCTGGAGGAACTTCAAAACCTCACTGAGTTCAGCTGGCGGGGGATACACTCTCTCCTCTAATATTTTCTGGTCTGTGTTGCAGTAGGCGGTGGACACATGGACAAATGCCTGGAAAGATGGAGTTGAAAATGAGAAAACCATAGATAAATAGGTGTCTATTTTATCTAGATGGTTTGTCGAATGTCTAGTGCGGATGCAAGACGAGCCGAGCAAAGAGACGCAAGTTCTCGGGTCAGAATAAAGTACTCAGAAAAATCTTAGTACCTTTAGTAGAGAGTACCTATAGTAGATTGTCCATTGTACTCAAATTACTATTGCAATGTTTACAATTTTTCCTGTGTGTGCAATAAAGTATAAATAAATAAAATAGTCCCCAGTATCAAGACTAGTGAAAAGGGTGTTTTGTCTTGCAACGCCTATAGGCATTCCTATTATACCTACATAGTTACAGTACAACATGTAAACACCGAAACAATGAAGTCCGGCGCATCCTAAAGACGTGAACAACTACCTTAGAACCCTCAACGAAATAAATCAAAAGACAATACGGTAATTGACAGGTAGTCAAATTCCATACTTTTATAGAGGTAGAAATTTCAAAAACGATACTTTTCTATGAATTTTGTATTGGATCGCTACTTATGACGTCATCATATTTCTGCGTCAAAAAACATACTTATTTCCATAGAATTAGTGAGTAAAATACAAAAGTAGGTAAATTGTCAAATCAATGGATGGAAGTATGATTATTTTTATTATTAATTACTAGCTTCTGCCAGCAGCTTCGCCCGCGGTCCCAGGGGTAAAATGCCTATGTATCACTTCAGACCATAATCTACATCTGTTCCGAATTTTATTCCGGTCCCTTCACTCGTTTTAATATGACTGAGTAACAAACATACACATAAACTCACATATTTTCATTTATAATATCGAGTCAAGCTAATTTCAACCATTGGCCTTTCAGTTACAGCGTAAAGTCTATGAATGAGTATTGTAAACGTTAGAGTAGACAAATACAATCAGAAATCACCGAATTGCTAAGCTATCTGGAGTTTCACGTGTTATTGTGAGGCAACCATAAAAGATAGACATATGCTGTCGAGGAATATTTTTTATATAATTTTAAGGAGAATATTTCCGTCATACATGATTTCTATGCAGCTTTAACCTATAAGCCTGCACACGCGACGGAAGTTTAAAAAATGGAGTAACTTCTCCCGTTTTCCCAATATTTCCCTTCACTGCTCTGCTCCTATTGATCGTAGCGTAATGAAAAGTATACTATAACCTGCACAAGAGTATGAAGAATAATTGTGCCAAATTTCGTTAAAATCCATCGAGTAGTTTTTGTTTCCATAACGAACATACAGACAGACAGACAGACAGACAAAAATTTTACTGATTGCATTTTTGGCATCAGTAGCGATCCCTAACCACCCCTTGATAGTTTTTTTTTAAATATATCTTATGTACAGAATTTACCTCTCTACAGATTTATTATAAGTATATATAGATTTATTGCATTGAAAAGCTGAAAAACAATTTATTTTAAACCTAGGAAACAAGCCAGTTAAAGGAATAGAAAAGGGTTTTTTTAAGGGGAGAAAATCATCGAATGACTGCTCCCGCCTGGGTGAGGCGGGAGGGAGTGTTAGACTCTTACTGACTAAAAACCACCCCGTTCCTTCTCCTGCACGTCGAGCTGGAGCCCCTTTTACCCGTTAGGTTTTCCGCGACTCCGAATCGGCATCGGAATAGAAAAGGATACGCTATGGTATAATGAAATGGCAAAATGTCTATTTGGTTATTTACCTTTATTTCTTTCATTTGTTGACACAATTGCAGTACATATTTAGTCCCGCCAACGTTTGTATTTATGATCTCTTTCAATTCTTTGTGAAACTGGACACTGGCTGCCACATGGAATACTACAGATACCTGAAAAATACAATACAAATTCTTTATAGTACAACTCATTCAACCTTTAACGTAAACAAACATAACTAGAGGTATAAGTACGTTGCTGTTCCAATATTTACAAAATAAAACTATGCATGTATGTACAATGCGCGGTACGACCTACGTCGTCATTGCTAATACTATACTCGAGATAAATACAAAGGGATTAAAATACAGAAGGACTACAAAACCGAAAGTCCCAACGTTATTATAGTCAATCTAATAATAGAATTCCTGGCTTAGTACTGGATGCGCTTGACCATCTATAGGTGATCCTAAGGAATATCTAAGGAATCTAGGATTGTCTACTCTAGACAATCTACTAATAGGTATTATAAATGCGATGTTCGATTCTCTTTCATAACATAACATAATATAACATCATGCCTTTTATCCTCGAAGAGGTAGGCAGAGGTGCACATTACGGCACTTAATGCCACTGTATAATGTAACACCCACTTTTCACTATTTATGTTATGAAATAGGGGGTGAGCCTATTGCCATACCGGGCACATCTCCAGACTCCGTGTTACTACTGAGGTTTTTACAAACCCAGTAATATTTTGGCCGACCCGGGAATCGAACCCGAGACCCCTTGCCTGGCAGTCGCACTTGCGACCAGTTGGCCAATGTGGCAGTCTTCATATTGATATAAAATACGTTTCGCCTTTGTCAACGCGGACATAACCGATAGCTGGTTTCTCCTACCTTTTGTAAAAGTGTTTCTTCGTCAGCGTTAGATATGCCAAGACCAGGTTCACTGAGGTCGCCAATAATTGGAGTGACTTTCTTTACACACTTCGGGTCCTTGCCTTTCAATCGTGAGAAAAGCTGTAATTAAGTACATTAACTTTTATTAAAATTGTTAAAAAAACAATGATAAGTAGTTTGCGAATACTACAGTCAATAGGTAAGGTAAAAAGTCGTTGACTGATTTTGATAAATAAAGGCTTCCAAAGCAACATTAGATGATTCTGAAATTGCAGAGGAAAGTTAAAGAAAAATAATCTTAATCCGAAAGTAAGGGATGAAGGAAAGAGAAGATATATGGAATCGTCCGTTCCTAGGGTATTAAGCTAGGGCCCTTCTGGATGGCTAACGTAACTTACCGGTTTGTCGAAAAGTTCTTCAATTCTTTGCAGAGGAGTTTTCCCCTTTTTCTCTCTAATTAAAATGTAGATGTTTTCAATATCATTGCAACTGAAAAGAAGTTTCTCGAGAAACACCTGAAAATTTCATAGTTCGGAGTTAGTAACCATGCTAACTCCTGCCTGCCAATTTAGAGGTTACATACCAATCTAACCTCTAAATTGGCAGGTCACTGATAATTAAGAGATGATATAGGTGCAGTAGCTCTTCATAGTTCGGGTAGATATCCGAAGTTTGGGTGCCCTTACAGAAAGTCTTCTCAGCAAGTTAATATCCTTCTTATTATATTATTATTCTTTTTTAATCTTTATTTAATAAGAAGACCTTCTTCTTCCTTAGAGGAAAACGTCGGCAGCAGTATTATAGGATACAAAATTCAGTACAAAAAATAAAGCATTAAACTAGCTAAGCTTAAACATAAAATAATTAAATTATACAATATTCTGGGCTCAGATAACAATGGTGACGCCAAAACACTGTGATAAAAAACCAATATTAAAGCTCTTAAAACTAAAGACCTCTGAGACTCACTACGTCATAATATAATACAAGGTCTTGTTTTGAAGCCGCGTCATTTTCCAGGAGGTAACACGGATATCGATTCTGAGTCCGAATCAATAAAAAAAAATATTTTTAATTTTTCTGTAAATTACGAAAATCCGTAAGTGCAAACTACACGCCGCCGTCTTGTAACTAGCTTTATAACGCGGCTAAACACACACAAACTTGAACACGTAATTGATATTATTCCTAATTCCATAAAACTCCAATAAGAAACATTGCTGTTGCTTATTCTAAAATACTGTCGAACTTAAACGATTTATTATAGCCGCATTTTTAACTATTGTACCGAAACTTTCTCTTACATTGAACTTTTATGACTTCTGTGACATGCCCCCGAGAAATGCCATGGTTTCAAAACTACACCTTGTATAATAGCATTATATTAATGCTAATGACAATACTATTATTAGGAAGAACCTACCTTACCAAGAAATCCAGTGACCCCAGTTAAGAAAATTGACTTTCCCGTATAAAAATTTGGTATTGAAACGTAGCTTGCCGGTCCAGAACATAACGTAACTTTCTCTGCATCATATTCTTTTATTTCTAAAAATAGTTTTCTTTTATTAGTTACATATATTATTCATATCTATTTTAAATTAAGATTACCGATTATTTATTTCTAGACATCGGATTATATACACTTTCAAAATGCCAAAACATGGCGAAATATGCACAGTAAAAACTATTTACATTTATAATTAGAAGTTACCTACTAGCTGACCCCGCGAACTTTATTTCGCCTTAGAAATGTTTCTTACATAATATTATTGTAATTTTTATGAGAGTAAACAGTAACATTTATTTTTTCAGGTTTTTAACAGCTAACTTGTGACGTTTGCCACTACAATGTGCCTTTCGACGTGGACTTATGGCGTCGACGGCATAATACACACCTATAAATACTGAAAGGTTAATGGAAATGTACCGAAATATGCAAATGCATGTAATCCGATGTCTATTTATCTCTTATTACCTACTTTAGAGGAAGCAGCCGTAAGAGCAATTATCCTAAAATCAATTTCCATAATATTATCATCAGGCACATATGTTAAAAACTTAGTTTTTCGGAGTGTGATGTGAGAATGTTTACCGATGCAATTTTTACCATAACAAAATAACAATCAGTAAAAGAATGATTAAAAATAAAAAAAGGAAAATACATACGTCTATACGTCATTTTACTTCCTTCAACACAAACAAAATGTTTATTATTATTATTGTTGATTTTTTTTTTATTATAAATATTTACACTAGAACAGCACACTTTACACTGCGGGAACCAACGATTTATGAAAACATCAGTGCGTTATAACGTTTATATATAGGTACCTACTACATAGGTAGGTACCGGTTTACTCTAAGGCAAACATTCTAAATAACTTCGGTTCCCGCTGACGTCGAGGATTTTCATTAGAATTTTGCTTTTGAAAATTCTCAGTAATATCTTATTTGTTTCAAATCTCACCCCACCATGCTTGTCTTCGGGGGCTGCAGACCTAAGAAGTATTTAATAGCACAGGTTTTATGTCTCACGTTTGAATCGGAACATTAGGGTAGTATTTAGTAAGTAATGCCGGAATACTGAAACGTTACTCAATTTTAAGTCGTGCTCAAATATCGTGCCATCTCTGTCATTTTACAAAGAATTTGTAGAGATAGAACATTACTTAAGCACGACTTAAAATTGAGTAGCGTTTCAGTATTCCGACATAAGAGTGTCAGAAACAGCCCCATTATGGGACTTATTAACACAATGTGTCGTGGAAAGTCAGGTTTGCATTTTAAATGTGCTTTCTGACGCCTTCAGGGATTAAAAGGCGTGATGTAATGATATGAGCCTCCTCCTCAAGGAGGACTTCTTTCCAAGGTATAAGTGGGCATTTGAATAAGATGTTTTACACTAGATACGTCAGTTTAACACCATGGCCTTACATGACCTGCAACTGCGATGTACTATTGAACTAAGAAGTTAATTATAACTGCAGCTAATTAGGTACAGTTTTCTATGATTTTTCTGAAACATTATCTACAATCTACAAGGATATGGATGAAGAAACATTTGTAAACCGGTTAATTGACGTCATAGCTGATAGTTCGACGTCGCAGAGCGTGATATCTTCATAACACCGTGCACAAATCGCATCATAGAGGTTACCAACCTATTTTTAAACCGACTTCCCAAAAAATAGGAGTTTGTCAATACGGCCGGTATCTTTTTTCAGGAGAAAACTATTCAAAGGCACTCTTGGGAAAAAGAACCAGGATGTATGGGATTTTTAACTTACTAGAATTTCCCCGGTAATCACAATTGGAACCTATGTATTAGGGGCACCGGGTTCGCTAAATAAAATTACTCGTCTAGACCAGCAGAGCCCATGTTGTGCAATCATTGGTTATGGCCATGGCACCTCATAGCGTTTCCCTTTAAGCCTCGCTGTGCACGGTACCACTGTCTTCTCTGAGCTCTGGCTCAGTCGAGCCAGAGCTCAGAGAAGGGAGTCCCCTACCTAACCAAATAAGTATAATTTTCGAACGACTGTACCGGCTGGTCTTAGAATAATTAAGGTAGGTATTCTATAACTCAATTTGAACTTTGGAAGTGCGCTCGATCGCATCTCGTCCGTCATTGGTCTAGATTATTCTCACAACATGACATGGCGGACCGCGATCGATTTCACTTCTATTTTTCCAATTGACCGTTACAAGGTTGCCTAGTTGGGAATATTCATGTGTGACAAATTAATTGGTGTTCAAGGCCTGGCTGTATGGGCGACGGCACGGGTGGTTGGCGCGGTGGCTGGACAACTGACTGTCGAGCATCGTGTCGCGGGTTCGATTCCCGCACGGAATAACTCTTTGTGTGATCCACAGATTGTTGTTCCGGGTCTGGGAGTCATGTGTATATGAACTTGTATATTTGTATACCTACTCACCCACGACACAGGAGACAATCGTAGCGTGAGGCAAAGTTTTGTTTCTTTTTTAAAAAAGATTATATGTGTAACTACCTAGATATATGTTTGCAGGTACCTGAATGCTCACGACATAATATGAAGGTTTACATTAGAAAATGTAAACACGACGCCATCTTTTTGCACGGAAAACGAAAGAATTCCCATGCAATTAATTAACCGACGTTAATAGGCACCTTCGTCTGTTGGGCAAAGCCAAATGACGAAACTGAAGACCGAAAATGGCAGCATCGTTTCGTCGAAGCCAAAGATTCTGAGAGAGCTTGAAAGGTTCTACGGACAGTTATACACCTCGACACGGCAACCCATTGTCGGTACAGCTCGGGATCCTAGAGCTAAACTGACACGGCACTATACCGAGGATATCCCAGACATCAGCCTGTATGAGATTAGGATGGCTCTCAGACAGCTCAAAAATAACAAGGCACCGGGTGATGACGGAATCACAACAGAACTTCTGCGAGCGGGTGGAAAACCGATACTTTTAGTCCTCCAGAAACTATTCAATTCCGTCATTCTCGAAGGAACTACGCCGAAAGCATGGCAAAGGAGTGTAGTGGTTCTGTTCTTCAAGAAGGGTGACAACTCTTTGTTGAAGAACTATAGACCTATCTCGCTTCTGAGCCATGTATATAAGCTGTTTTCTAGGGTTATCACGAACCGTCTGGAACGCAGGTTTGATGACTTCCAGCCTCCCGAACAAGCCGGGTTCCGGAAAGGCTTTAGCACCATAGACCACATTCATACGCTGCGGCAAGTTATACAGAAGACTGAGGAGTATAACTTGCCACTATGCTTGGCGTTTGTGGACTATGAAAAAGCCTTTGATTCGATCGAGACCTGGGCGGTGCTGCAGTCTCTCCAGCGATGCCATATCGACTACAGATATATCGAGGTGCTAAAGTGTTTGTATAGAAACGCCACCATGCGCATCCGACTCCAGGAAGATAGCACGGAACCAATCCAATTGCAGAAAGGAGTGAGACAGGGAGACGTGATTTCTCCGAAACTGTTCACCAACGCATTGGAGGACGTTTTCAAGCTTTTAAACTGGAGTGGACTGGGCATCAATATCAATGGCGAATACATCACACACCTCCGCTTCGCCGATGATGTAGTCATCATGGCGGAGTCGCTGGAGGATTTAAACACCATGCTCAGCGACCTCGATATCGTCTCCCAACAGGTGGGTCTTAAAAGGAACATGGACAAGACCAAAATCATGTCAAACGTCCATGTTGCACCTGTACCGGTCATCGTTGGGAACGATATCCTCGAAGTTGTAGACCACTACACATACTTAGGGCAGATTATACAGCTAGGTAGGTCCAATTTCGACAAAGAGGTCGCCCGAAGAATCCAACTTGGATGGGCAGCGTTCGGGAAGTTACGCGAAATCTTCTCATCGAAAATCCCTCAGTGCCTAAAGACCAGGATGTTCAACCAGTGTGTGTTGCCGGTGATGACGTATGGTACCGAGACGTGGTCCCTGACCTCTGGCCTTCTGGAGAAGCTCAAAGTCGCTCAGCGTGCGATGGAGAGAGCTATGCTCGGGGTTTCTTTGCGCGACAAAGTCCGAAATATGGAGATTCGCCAAAGAACAAGAGTTACCGACATAGCTCGCAAAATCTGCAGACTGAAGTGGCAATGGGCAGGCCACGTCGCTCGAAGGACTGACGGCAGATGGGCCAGGAAAGTCCTTGAGTGGAGACCCCGGACCGGAAGACGAAGCGTGGGCAGACCTCCCGCTAGGTGGACCGACGACATCGCCAGAGTTGCGGGGAGCCAGTGGATGCGGGTGGCGAGTTGTCGTTCGACGTGGAGGGCTAAGGGGGAGGCCTTTGTCCAGCAGTGGACGTCTTCCGGCTGTTGATGATGATGATGAATAGGCACCTAATAATAATCAATCAACCAATTGACTGAGATTAATTTATTGTTGACTCACAAGATGTTCTACGAAGTCCGTATGTAGGTACCTATTCCGTGAAAAGTGATAATTAGGTATACATAATATTATTGCTTTATAATGATGATGATCTAAGTCATATCATACATTCATGTATGAAGTATCATTATTAATTAGAATTGATCGATAAATCGGTAATAACCATTTGTTTTGTCCGCGAACAATGTTAGCATTTTTTGTGTTTACAAATTGCTTTAAAACAATAACACCATAATATTTTATTATCTTTCATTGAAATTACACAGCTATGTAACATGTATTGTGTATAATTAAACTGCATTGTTGCCGCAGTGCAGAGGTTATTTAGCTAGCTGCTGAACACATTTTGCTGATTCGATTCCAACAATCACAAGTAAGGGTGCCAACGTTTTTGTACCTCTATAAAAAAAACGTATAAATTGTTTTTGAATAGGAAAGTAGGTTTTATAAGAAAAAAAAGGTACCTATCATTTTTTTTAATTAATTTTCTCTTAAGAATATTTTCTTTAACAGTCTATTCAAAAACGACGGACAATTTTTAAACAATTTCGTCGATAGTGACATCTGTATATTATCCCTGGTCTACAACATTTGGTTCGGTAATTATAAATTTATTTATTTACTTCAAAGGGATTTCCAACAAAAAACACAAGTAACATAGGTACACAATGATAATGCAAAAAACAGATATTTTGAGTTTCTCCGGTTATAAGAGACATTGACCACACCAGACCCGACAGACACGTCATAAAAACAAAATAAATCCGAAAAATATTGAATTGAATCCGGAAAATTCAAAAATACTTAAATTAAAAAACAATACAAACGATGTGAACAGTAAACAATGATAATAAAAGACAATAAGTTAATTTGTAGATACTTCAGCACCTTTTTTTTTGTTACCCGACTGCCAAAGAAGGAGGGTTATGTTTTTGACGGGATACCTTCCAAAGGCACCTAGCTTTTTGGGGAAAAAGACTAGGGAGTGTGGGATTTTTACCTCACTAAAACCTCCCCGGTGGCCACCATCCGCACTTGAAGGAGGCACGGGTCCTCTTAGCAGACCAACTCCGGAGCTCCCACAGTGCAACGCCTGTTACGGCACCTCCCTATGGAGACCTATGTGTCTGTCCTAGAGCCTCTCTGTGCATGTATCAATGAGCAATGTGTTGACCAGAAATTTGTATTTCCCCGGTTTATTGGGTAACATATCATTTTTCGCGGAGGTACAGTCTATGCTCCTCGCCTGTGGTGTATGTT